CACACAAACGCACACGCACACACACACACACACACACACACACACACACACACAGACTCCTCACTTTCCTGTCTTCCCAATTCAAAAAAAAAATAGCGGTAGCGCAGGATTCCCTCCCATGGAAATCCGGTTGTCTTGGTCACGCCAAAAAGAAAAAGCAAAACGTGAGCTATACCAAGTTGTTTCTTCTTCCTCCTGCCATCCCGCCCTTCACCCCTCTGACCGCACTCTCTATTTGGCCTTCCCTGTTCCTCTTTTTCTTACTTCTTATAAACAGGCAATTGAACTCCCTACTTGTCTAAAACCTCGGCAAATACCCAGTCGCTGCAAATTTGCTGACTACAAAAAAAAAAAAAAAAAAAAAAAAAAAAAGTAAATCGCACTGATCGAGGATCGTGTTATACCAAATAACGTCCTTGTAGAATTTGTTTTTACTTTTTTTTAACCTTATTATAGTAATTGAACCAGGCCTTTCTTCAGTCGGACTCCCGGGCTATACTGATGCACGATACGCACGCCGCCGTTTTTCTTCCACTGGTCACCGCTCAATAACTCCAGGGGAAGGGAGGGAAAGAGAAGCGAACAGGAGAGAGGGAGAGAAGGTGTCATTAGTGTATTCCTTTCCATTTAAGAAAATAGGCAAAGCTCATTCCTCTCCCTCTGGTGTTTGTCAAGGAGAAAAAGAAAACTTCAAGAAAATAACAAGAGTATTTCTCTTTCCCTCTCCCTCTGTTCTTCTCTAGTGATCGAGCTGCTATCCCCAGAGAACAAGATTGCGGTCTAGAGAAAAGTAAACTTGGGCGCACTGTCGCCGGTTACCTTTTCGACCGTAACCGGACCCTGGGAATTTTCAGTGTGAATACGCCAAAAGAGCAGAGGGACTACCTTCTTCCCCCGAATACAACGTACGGTCATTATAGCTGTATTTAGACTGAAACATACCCCTAGTACAGCTATAATGACCGCACGTTGTATTCGGGGGAAGAAGGTAGCAGGAGGCTTTACAAAAAAATGAATAAATGTAGAGCAAGAGGCCCAGGTGGACGATGAAGCGAACGACAGAACAACCACAACAACGACCAAGGAGAGGGCGGAGAGGAGGGGAAGAGGAGGAGAAGAACAGGAGCACAGGTCGTGGCCAACCCGGAAGACTTACCTCCAAGATGGCTATGGCAGGGACACGCTATACTGAGCGACACCGGAAGAAGATGGATGACACAGAGAGAGAGAGAGAGAGAGAGAGAGAGAGAGAGAGAGAGAGAGAGAGAGAGAGAGAGAGAGAGAGAGA